ACACACACACACACACACACACACACACACACACACACACACACACAAAGAGAGTTGAGTTGAGTCACTGAATCATAAAAACCTTTCCTCTGCACCTCTTAGTGTCACCGCTCATCTCGTCTAAAGCGCCTTTCAGAACGGGTACAACAATGCCAACTCTCGCAGTGTGTTCTGGTTTGGTGCCAGCCGTTACCCCGTGTTGAACACAGTCCATTCACTGGTCTTTGTTCTCCGATGCTCACACACCAACAGCCTCAAATGCCCTCGACGAGGTGCGAGAGTGGGTTTCTTTGTGGAATATGTGAACATTAGATTGATCAGTATGCTGAGCTGCAGCTTGGCGAGAGTGGACAAATGATACACGGGGGGGGGGGGCTAATGTATTAATGCACATGGACCTCGGAGAGCTAAAAGCAAATTAAGATTACATCAGTTGTCCTGCTCTGTCATGCCAGTATCTACCTTTATTGACCCGTGTGTGTGTGAGATGTTTTATGAGTTGTCTTTAATGGATACAGTTCAGGAGGAATCCATCACTGAAAATGATATCCGATGTTTGTTTACTACTTGACATTGTGCCGTTTTGTCTTTATCATCGGTTATTCCTCCAGCAGACATCGTGAACAAAGATGGAGGGGGTCTATTGGGGATTTTAAGGGAAAAGGTTTTTAACAAATGCAGTTTTCCAAATCCGATTCTCTAAAATTCACGTTTGGGAAGGATGCAATCATGTCTTTAGTGAATGTTCGAATCACAATTGTATTCGGATGACTCAATTAGAATTGATTTTTCCCAATCATTTCTCCCACCGAGGTCACCTCCTGTTTTCTCCCCATAGACAGAATGACTCACTTTCTTCTTCCTTTGTTCCTCTGTTGTTTCTTCCGTTCTACCCATCCTCTCTACTGCTCGCTCTCATTGCTACTGTCATGAAACTGTGTTAATTGTTAATCATGTGAGAGACATTTCCTCTTTCCATCAAGCAGCATACTGATGAGGTATGTTCTCATTTCTTTCATCAGTAAAAACTGTTCTTTTATGAAGTTTGCAGCATTCGCAAAGAGGAGATGGAAGAGAGGGAAAGGAGGCGAGTTAGAGAAGATTTTTTAGGTTTTCAAGACAATGGAAACACAAGAAGTAGGCTGCAATACAATATTAGGAATATGCCTAACATTTTGTATAATGAGTATATGTAAACAAACAGCAGAGTCTCTAAAATATTCACGAACAATCAAAATGATTTTGAGCTTCTTGTCTTCTCAGGTGTTGCTGCACAAAACACACACTGACACGATGCTCATTGTGCCCACATCACTCATCTTTTATACAAGACTCCCACCCAAACTTATAAACAGCCACACACACACGCACCTCTTAAATAATCCTCTGAGAGTGTGTGTGCCTGTTCTACGAGTGTGTATTTATGTTTAATAGAAATGTCAGCCCACAGTGCATTATAAGGACGGGAGCCTAATTCTTAATGCGTGTATAAATTAGCCTCACCAT